GAGATTGACAAAACCCCTATCCTCTGGAGCATGCATTTTGTCAGGCAGACAGAGTCCATAATACAGAAAACGTATTAGAAAAATCTAACTTCTGTGGGATTGAAAAACAGAGGGAGGGAAGGAGGAGTCGAGGTATGGGATGCTCAGGTCAGGAGCTGCATTCTCAGATCGTGTAGCCTGGAAGGGTCTCACAGAGAGAGGCCACTGGACCACAATGTGCAGGAGGGGAGGGAGGGAGGGAGTCAGCCAACAACCTAGAGGCAGAGCGGCGGAGGCAGAGCTGTGCAAAGGCCCTGAGGCAGCGCATGCCCAGGGAGCAGGTGTGCCCAGAGCACACCATAATGGAGTGGGGGAAGGACGGAGAAGGGGTGAGGTGGGGACCCATGGATGGTACCCCCAGGCCAACAACCCATTGACCTCTTCCCATGCCCACCCATACAGAACTCTTAGTCACCTTGACTATCCAGTGTCATCCTAGAATCATCGGTGATCAATGTCATTGTCAACGGCTTAAATGTAATACTTCTCAGATCACATGAACCCCCCAAAGCAAATCGCCCTGTAATATCTCTCTACGTCGAATGACATCTTAGTTACAGCATTGTTAGTCACCGTGTGGGAGCTTGTTTTCTGTTTTGTTTTAATTTTCTTTTCCTTTCATTACAACTTTATTCTGGGGTGGGGGGGGCAGTCGATGTGGGTTCACAAATGCTCGTGACTACAATATTGCCGCGGCAACACCTGGAAATCGACAATGTCAGGGGTTGGTAGCTGGTGCGGCTAAACCATGTGATCAAAGCCTGATCCTTGTCATGGGGTCATAACCCCCAAGACCAGAGCACACTGGATGGTTCAGACAGTGCTGATATACATACTCCTATGTATATGCATATATATGTAAGCTGGTTCATGTGAAGTCTTATAACTAACAACAGGGATATTCCACCTTGTAGGCATACTGATAGGTCAGCTGGCTTATGTGAACTATCCTTATAACTCACCACAGGGATATTTTAATAAGGAAACAATACATTTCTGCTGGGACACTGCACAAAAAGTATATAAGCAGTCATTCTGGTGTCAGACACCGTCACCCAATGAGCCCACCCCACCCCCACCTTCCTGGTGATGCCACTGGGATCTGAGGAAGGTTTAGGGCAGAAACCTGGTCTGGCAGCTGTGAAGGGTTTGGGTGATGGCCATAGGGGACAAGGACAGCGCAGAGAGACCAGAGAGGCAGCCACTGCAGCCACCCAGCGAGTGAGGCACCGTAGTGACAGTGCAAGTGACAGGACCTCCTGTGCTCCCTGCTTCCTCCCACCCATCCCCCTCCACCTGACCTGAGCCCACCTCTGGGGCGGGACCCAGGCAGGGCTGAGGAGAACAGGCAGGGGAGCTTCACCATGGGCAAGGCTAGGCCATTAGCCAGCAGCCCTTTTCCTAGGCTTCCAGCAGCGGAGGGTCCCCCCACAGGGGTGAGCAAGGAGTGCAGGGGGCCAAAAGAGTGCCCTTGTGGGTCAGAGCTGGGGAGAGGGGGGACAGCGACAGAGGAGGAAATGAGGGCAAGTGTCCTGAGCAAGGTCACCCTGGTAGGAAAGGTCAGCTGGAGGATTTGAACTTGGGACAGGCTCACTCCACAGCCAGTTCTCCATCCTGGGTGGGTGGGGGTGGGCATGTGTGTGAGGTGTGAAGTAGGGGGGGATAGGTGTGAACAGATGGTGGCTGGACCCCTGGAAGGGCAGATCTCACTCTGTCCTCACCCTCCCGCCCCTCAGCCCCCTCCAGAAATGCCCACATGTGACACACACACACACATACCACGGGGACAGAGCACAGAGCAGCCCTCTCCCCTTCTCCCCAGGGACCCCATCAACCTGCAGGTCCTCCAAGCCTTTGTGGGATGCCACGAGTTTGCCAACCTCAACCTGGTCCAGGCCCTCAGGTGAGTGACCCCGGGGACAGAGGAAAGGGACATAGCCAGCGGGGAGGGGACGGGCGAGGGGGATTGGGGACTCCTCATGGCCACGGCTCACACCATGGGTCACAAACAAAGGGGCAGGAGCAGAGAGGGGGCAGCGGGCGCCAAGCCCCATGGATGGCAGGGTCAACTTGCTGGGCTGGGCAGGGTGAGGCCCGGCTCATGACAGCAAGGGCACAGCCACGGCAGGAGCCTCAGCAGCTTCCCCTTTCTAATTGCACACTCACTGTTCCACGGCTGCCACTGCCCCGTGGCCACTCCCTCCTGGCTTGGTGGTCAGTTGCTTATTGGGTCGCTGCAACTGAAGGTGGACTGCACTTGCTGTGACTTACAGTTTTCTAATGAGGATGTGCTCATATTGCTTAGTTCTAGCACCCAGCAGTACACAGGTGGGGACCACACATGCCAGAGCCCGACTTCTCAGTTCAGAGGCCAGTGCTGCTGTACAAGATTGTGCAAGTCACACACACACACACAGACACACACACACACACACACACAGCCTACCCTTGCCTCCTTTTCCTTGTCTATAAAAGAGGGATCATTATCATACCCACCTCATAGGGTTGTGGGGACGTAAAGAACCTAGAAGATGGGGCCCCAAGAGGGGCGATTGACCTGGGCTTTGAAGTAGGAGTGTGTTAGACAAAGAAGGGAGAAGCCACCCCCACCCAGGCGGGGGGCCCCTTGCTCCAAGACCCTTGCTCTTTAAGGTACTGAGGGGAGAGAACTTCGCTTGCTCGTGCATGGATTCATTCACTCATTCATTCGTTCAATGAGACTTTACGAAGCAGCTCCCAGGGGTCCGGGCTGGGGCTCGGCCCACCGGAGAAGGGAGAGGAGGGGATCAGCCCAGGCCCTTGTCTGGGGCACTTGTCTGGCAGCTGTGGGGTTGTGGGGAAGCTTAGGGAAAGGGGGTTCAGGTGGGGGGAGGCCCCTGCCCAGTGGCATCCCTCCTCACCGCAGCGGATCGCAGGGTGGGATGGGGGATGAGGTTTCTCCCCTTGAGGTCAGAACCTGAACGGCGCTGCCATCTGCGTATGGAAGGAAGCCAACTCGCTGGTAAGGACCATGTGCCCAGCACCCTGGAGTGCAAATCCTGCCTAACCCTCCCATGACCCTGGACATCAAGCCCAGACTTTCCATTGGCAGGATAGAAAGACTGTGCCTGGTAGGGGCCCCACCAGGAGGCTCGCCAACTGACCCCGCTCTGTTTGCCGCAGGCAGTTTCTGTGGAGTTTCCGGCTGCCAGGAGAGGCGCAGAAGATCGATCGGATGATGGAGACCTTTGCCACCCGATACTGCTCTTGCAACCCGGGCGTCTTCCAGTCCACAGGTGCCAGGCGCAGAGTGGGGGACGGGGCACTCGGAACCCTTCAGCTCGGCCAGGTTCTGATCTGTCCCCACCCCAGGGGACCACAGCCACCCTGCTCCATCCTCCTTCTCCTCTCCTTCCACGGACACCCTCCTGGCTGAACCCCAGCGCCACACCGGACAATGCCACGTGTGGAGCTGCCTTGAGCGTGGACCTGGGAGAGAGGCAGGGCGTGATGGTCCAGGGTGGGAGGATTCTAGGGCAGCCACAGCCATAACAGCAGCAGCCCACCTGCAGGCCCAGGATGGTTTCTCAGAAGAGGGGGAGGGGTGTCTGAATAGGGTTTTGAAGGATGAATAGAAGTTCCCTCTGGGAGGTCAAGGGGGAAAGAGGCTTTGGGGGCAGGAGGTGCAGTGTGATCAAAGTCTCAGAAGCATGAGACCACTGGATAGAGATGTTAGGGGAAGAAGAACTAAAAGGAGACCACAAAGGTGGTCTCCAAGCTTTCCTCCATAACCACTGCCCACAAAGACCCCGAGGACAGGGTGGCAGAGGCGTCTTTTGGGCTCTGAACCTCACACAGCAGCCATAGCCATTCCCATTTACTGGGCACTGCACTGTGCCCCCTCTGCTTGGTGCCTACAACAAAGCCACTCATTTCTTACAGCAACTCTTGGCGGGGCCCAGTTGGCAGAGTAGGTTACACACTGGACTGCCATCTTCAAGGTCAACAGTTTGAGCCCACCAGCCACCTCCCCAAGAGAAAGATGAGGCTTTCTCCTCCCATAAAGAGTCAGAATTTAGGAAACCCACAGGGGCAGTTCTACCCTGCCCTTTAGGGTCACTATGAGTTGGCATTGACTCGATGGCAGTGGGCTTAGCAACCCTGTGTCCACTGCCATTGAGCGGATTCCAACTCATGGCCACCCGATAGGAGTCCTGTGGGACTCCGAGACGGTCACTCTTGGCTGGAGTAAACAGCCTTGTCCTTCTCTGGAGAACAAGAGGCTGGTGGGTGTAAGTAGTTGGATTTGAGTGAATGCGGTTGGCAGCTCAACAGGTAACCCACTCTGCCATCAGGGTTCCTTTCTAGGAGGTCACTACGATGCTCCCCCATCTTACAAAGCAGAGCATAGGCCCAGAGAGGGAAGGGTACCTGTCCAAAGACACACAGACCAAAAGTGGCGGACCCAGGATTCAAATTCTGATCCGTTTCATTCCAAACCCCACTACTCATCGACGCACATCTCGGACCAAGCTCGTCCAGCCCAGGGCTGGCATGCCTGCCACAACACCCCCACTTCACATTCCCATTCTCTGGCCTTAGCTTGGTTCCCTGCAATGACGGGGCGCTTACTACCTCACTCATAGGGTCTAGAACCAAGTGTGCCTCCTTGGGGAACGGAGAGACCTCCAGTCGGAGACCTGTGTCCCGCTCCAGCACAGCCAAGCTCTGGTTTCCAGCCCCCCGCCCCACTTCACTCCATTCATGACACCTCTCCTGTGAACACCTTCCCCTAAAGCAGTGGTTCTCAACCCCTTTCACAGGGGTCGCCCGATTCATCACAGTAGCAAAATGACAGTGATGAAGTAGCAGCGAAAATAATTGTATGGTTGGGGGGTCACCACCCCATGAGGAGCCGAATGAAAGGGTCCCCGCATGAGGAAGCTTGAGACCACTGCCCTAAAGCACCGTCTCCAGAGCTCCCCCTTCAGGAGGCCTCCTTCTTGACCAGCTTCTGGGGTGCACCTGGCTATGGAGCCCCACCAAGATGGCTGAGGGTCTGCCCTGGTAGAACCGTCCAAAGAGGACCGATCTCCCGAACCTGGACCATCGCCTCGCCTTCCAGGCCCTACACCCCCGGGGTGTGAGCTTCGGCAGATACAGAGACGGGAAGCAGTACAGCGTATATGGGGACAACCCCGGGACCCGGCCAGGACTCTGCCCCTCACCAAAACCCCTGGCTGTCCAACTAGACCTCTCCCACCGCATCTCCTGCTGTCCCAGCCATGCCTGCTCCAATTACTCTCTGCAAAAATGCTGCCCTACCTCAGGGCTTCTGAGCACCTGCTCTTCCGGGGCCTGCGGAGCTCTTCCTCGCCTCCCATCTGGTCTCAGGCCACCTGACCCTGCTCTCTCCCTGGGCAGCACTGCCCAGCTCTGTTGGACATTTGCATGCATGACCTACCAGCTCTGCCAGCCTAACCCTCCCACAGGGACAGGGGCCCTCTCAGGTTTACTCACCGACGACCTCCCCAGCCTGCAGCACGTAGTAGGCGCTCCATAGGAAAGTGGGGGGGTGGGGGGGGTTCTTGAAAGCACCAGATTTCATTCACAGTCCAGTTACCTGACCTTGGGCAGGTCACCTAGCCGCCCTGCCTCTGTACCTGAAGAGGACAATGGTGGTCCGAGATAGAGCGCTCCCCTTCTACTTGGGAGGCTAGGGTTCAATTCCTGACCAACGTAGCTCATGCATCACTGCCACCTGTGTATCAGGAGAGGCTTGCATGTTGCTGTGACACAGAGTGGGTTTCCCCAGAGCTTTCAGACCCAGACAGACTAGGAAGAAAGGCCTGGTGATCTGCTTCCCCCAAATACCCACCCCTGGCGACCCTCTGCCTCCCAACATTCTGATTTCTTTGCACAGGGGGTCAAGGGCAGGGGGGAGGAGGGAGACAGGCTCTGGCAGTGAAGGGCAATGTGGACAGCAGTGCCTGCCTCATGGACTTGTCCTGGGGACACAGGGAGTTTATAAAGTGCAGGACCCTTGCCCACAGTCTGGGTGCCGCTGTGATCAGAAGTCAAATCCGAGCTGTTGGACAACCTAAGGCCACTCCAGAGGTGAGCCTGACATTGACGGAAGTCAGGTACTTGCCCAAGGTCAACCAGAGATGAAAGGGCACAGCAGGGACTCCCCTGCTCTGGATCAGTACTGAGAGCCCGATAAAAGGCCCAGCGTAGCACTTACCCCCTGCCATCAGCCCTGCCTCCTCAGAGAGGGCGGGCCAGCATACAAAGGGGATAATGGAGCTCAACTCCAGCCCACGGTGCCAGCGGGATCACAAAGCAGAGCATGATTAAGCCGGAAGGAGATGCCAACAATGCCTGTTCACCAAGTCCCACGGAGGCAGAGAACAGAGTGGGCAGGGGGCAGGGGGCGGGAGGGCGCAGCTGTGAGAGAGCAGAGAGACCAGCTTTCAGGGCACAGAAAGGGGCAGGGTGGGGAGAGGTCGGGGGCAGGAAAGCCAGCTGCATCCGGGCCTGGTGGGCTCCCAGGGACACAGCCCCCGCTACGAAGTGTGCGTGCAGCGGGCGTGCTTTGGGAATGGAGGTCAGCCCGAGCTGTTGGGGGTGGCGGGGAGGCCTTCGGGACCTGCAGCCAGGACTGTGACCACGGACCGCCCCGCCCCTCAGACACTTGCTATGTCCTGTCCTTCTCCGTCATCATGCTCAACACCAGCCTCCACAACCCCAACGTGCGGGACAGGCCACCCTTCGAGCGTTTCGTGTCCATGAACCGCGGGATCAACGATGGCAGCGACCTGCCTCAGGAGTTGCTGTGGGTAAGAAGGGGCAGGCCTGCCCAAGATGGGCTCAGAGGGAGGGTGGATCCTAAGACCACTCAGAAGGGGGCCTGTCCTGAGCTAGACCACCCAGAGGGGGGGTCTGTCCTGAGCTAGACCACCCAACGGGCGGGGTCTGTCCTGAGCTAGACCAATCAGAGAGGGGCCTGTCCTGAACTAGAACAATCAGAGAGGGGTGTCTCTCCTGAGCTAGACCACTCAGAGGGGGCCTGTTCTGAGCTAGAAAGATCAGAGGGAGGGCTGTCCTGAGCTAGACCACTGGGCAAAGGTGGGGAGAGCTGTTCTGAGCTAGACCACTCGGGGAAGGAGCCTGTCCTGAGCAGACCACCTGAGGAGCTGGGGTTTGTCCTGAGACAGATCAGGGAGGCAGGCGCTGTGTGAGATAGATCGTTCAATGGGTATGTCTTTACATGAACCACGTCAGTGGGGCTCCTCTGAACAGAGCCTCCAAGAGGCGCACCCAGGTCCTCGGCTGTCTTGAGACGCACCATCACAAACAAGGCTGGTCCTGTGATGGCAGTTCCCAAGAGAGGGCCCCATCTTGAGAAGGGTGTCCAGAAATAGACCGCCCAGGAGGACGCTCCCTGTGACCCTTGGGGCACTCTGGAAAGCCTCCCTTCATGCTCCGAGTAGTTTGGAGCACGCCGATTACTCATCTCTCCAACTCTGTGCTTGGATCCTTCGAGGGTCAGAGCCTGGGGCACACGTCCGTCAGCTTAAGACAGGGCCAAGCAGAGCCTGGCAAACCCTCCTCCCGCGGGCCCAGGGACCCAGGCACGAACCTGGGTTGGCATGAGCCAACCACAGCCACCCCCCTGCAGATGTTTAGGGTCTGGTGGCGGTGGGGAGGCAAGGGAAATGTGACTAGCAAGTCCTTTTGCTGGAATCCCGGAGTACTTCTCGGAGGAGGTGATATTTGAACTGGGCCTTGACGGCTGCAAGGGAGTTTTTCCCAAAGAGATGCAGGAAAGGGACATTCCGTAAAGGAGGAAGCTACTGGTACCCGGTGGGTCTGGCTGGCTGGAAAAGAGGCGGCTGCCCAGTGTAGGTGACTGGTATGTGGGTATGTGGGCAGCACTGGGCAGTGGGGCGTGGGAAGCTGCAGAGGCCAGGGCTTCTGACAGCAGCCACAGGGTCTGCCCACGTCCTGTTACAAAGAGGTGAGAACCATTTGTTAAAGTGAGAGGTTCCGAGCGGGGAGCTGGGGGAGAAAACCAGCAGTGATGATTCAAGACCAGTCCCCTCTCAGCTGGTGAAGACAAGGCGTGACCCCCCCGCCCCTCAACTTAGCACTCGACCCATCTCCTACCTCAGGCGCCTGGGCTGGAGCCTGACTCCTGTATGATCCCAATGGCCCCGTGTTTGAGACCTATGGTGTCCCCGGCCACCACCATCCGGCCTGATCTCCACGTATTGCTGAGGGACCATCAAGTCGGTCCCGCCCCATAGCAACCTTATGCTATGCACAACAGAACGCACCACTGCCCAGTCCTGCGCCGTCCTCACCATCATGCCCATGACTGTGCACATTGTTGCAGCCACTCTGCCCATCCATGTCCTTGAGGGCCTTCCTCTTTGGGCCTGCCCCTCCATGATGTCCTTCCCCGGGGACTGGTCTCTCTTGATAACACGCCCAAAGTGTGTCAGACAAAGTCTCGCCATCCTGCCCTCTCAGGAGTCCTCCGGCTGGGCTTCTTGATTCTCGGAGGAGGCTGTTATATCACTGGTGTGGAGGACTAGTGGGCCAGCTCAGACCAAACCCCCACCTCCCCCTGTTCCTGCAGGGTGGCCTGACTCACCTCTCCCAGCCCCCCTTCCCTCAGCCGGGAGAATGGGGAGGTGACGTCTGTGTCCCCTGGCAGCCCTGGGTAGCAATTAAGAAATCATGGAAAGGCACCGTCCCTGCCAGGACCATGGCACAGGCTCCAAATGGTGGCTCGTGTCACTCTGAGGCCAATTAACACAAAGCCCAGGACTCGGCCAAATGCCAGAAATGCATGCAAGAGGCATCTGAGGCAGGAGAAGCCTTCATGCTGGGCCTGCGGCCGCACCTGGCTGGCAGGTAATGATTAGCTACATCCGTGACGCCAGCCCTGCCTGGTCCGCAGGTGCCCAATGAGCGTGCTAAGTGCCCCCCTCTCCCATGCACACCCCACCCCCATCCCTCCAACCATCCTCAGCTGCTCCCTCCTTCTCCTTAGGTGTTTCTCCAATTCCAGCCTTTGGTTAATAACAATGTGCTGCATTTGGATAGAACTTGTACCTTTCTGGGTTTATTATCTCAATTGAGGTTCAAATTCTGCCTGGGAGGCCGCTCACTCAGGAAGGGCCTATTATTCTCTTTGGCAGCCGCAGGAGAGGGGGCCACCTGGTAGGGATAAGACAGGAGGACTGGCCGCAGAGTCACATCCAAGTCCTGGCTGCACCCCTTGAGGGGTGTGGCATTGGGTACAAGGCTTGACCTCTCTGTGCTCCCCCTATGCCCCCCACCCCCCCACCCCTGACATGGGCTGAGTAGAGAAAGGCCAGGGGCTTAACAAAAGGGCCAGGTGGCTGGAGTGGGTAATCAGATTGTCCCAGGGCATGGTCGAGGAAGGAAGACCCCAGGGGTCTGGGCCTGCCATCCAAAGCTTCCACACATGGATTGGTGGTGTGTGTGTGGGGAGTGGGGGGGGAGGGCGGCAGTCTTGCCCTCTCTGAGTCTCATTTGCCCCTCGTGTAAAGCGAGGTCCAGCTATTCCAAGCCAAGACCCTTTGCAGAAGGATTCTGTCAGGAGTTGAGTCTGATGTGGGCCCCACTGACAACATAAGGATTCTACAACATTCCCTAAAGAGAGAAATGCAGGAACACATGGACCGGGAGGTGTGCACATCAGGGGAAGAGGGGAGCCCTGGTCATGACCCTGGCCACACACTGTTCTCCCGAGAAGCTGAGCTACAGCGCTCGGAGCTGATGCTGGGCAGAAGGCTGGGAAATGCTGAGAGAGCGGAGAGGGTCTAGGGGCAGAAGAGGCTGGGTGGGAACTGTTGCTCAATCAGCAAACAACCTCCCAGGCAAAGGGCTTCTGCTGCTATGGCCACCTGGGTTCGGTCCCGGTCCAAGGCTCCCCACTGATTACGAAGCACCTTGAGGAGGGCAGTGCCCAGCTCCCACCTGTCCCTCATCCTGCCCTGCTCCAACACGGGCGTGCACACAACACAGGCACATGCACGCTGCAGCCAGGACGGAGGAAACTTCTCCACCTCTCCCCAAGAATAGCAGGATCGGGCCATCCGGCCCAGCCAGGCAGTGACCTCAGTGAGTGGACCTGAGGCGGTAGTGCCCCCCTCCCTGCTGGGGACTCTCATCTGATCACCTCCCAGGACTCACTGCTGGCCACTGACCAGAAGGGCTTTAAGGAGCCCTTAACCCCAGTGACACACACACACACACACACACACACACACAATCCACACTAGGGCTTGGAGGGGCAGCTCCAAGACCCTGTGGTTCCACATGGCTGTGCTGCTTTGCATGGCCCTGCTCCCAGGCATGCAAACCAGGGGTGTCGAGTCGATGCAGGCCAGAGTAGGGCTGTGCTCCACAGGGTTTCCAAGGACTGGATTTTCAGCAGCACACAGCCCGGCCTTTCTTCCGAGGCACCTCTGGGCGAACCCAACCCCCCAACCTTGAGGTCAGCAGCCAAAGGCGTAGCTATTTGTGCCACCCAGAGGCTCCAGGCAGAGGGGAGGAAACCCAGTGCCAATTGTGGCGAGGGTGGCCACGTACCAGAACAGCCTGTGTACCAGGCATCGGTCTGCGTCCTCCCAACCACCTCGGACAGCAGTACCAGCCCCAGCTCACAGCTAACAAGGTAGAACCAAAGAGAGGCAGCTGGCCAGCAGTCTTAGTGCGTGACGAGTCTCAATTTGAGCCAAGGGCTGGCTGGCTCACTGGAGTCCTTCCCCCTGAAGAGACCAGAGGGCAAGAATCGGGGACAAAGGATTTGCAGGAGAGTCTCAGCAATTGTAACTGAAAAGACTGAGGATCGATTTGGCTTGAGGCTCAGCTGGACCCAGGTGCTCAGCGACCTCAACTCGGTTCCCCTTTCCTCCATGGGGGCTTCTCTGTTAAGTCAGCTCCCCCAGTGGTGGCAGAGCTGGCTCAGGCAGCTCTAGGCTTCCAGACTTCTTACCTCGCACTGCCATCGAGTGGATTCCAACTCACAGCGACCCTCCAGGGCAGGCTAGAACTGCTCCTGTGGGTTCCCAAGACCTCTTTACAGGAATAGAAAGCCTCATCTATCTCCCTCGGAGTGGGTGGTGGTGTCAAACTACTGACCTTGCCGTTAGCAGCCTAATCTATAACCACTGCGCCACCAGAGCTCCATGCATCCTAGCAGTCCTTCTACTCGACAGTTCCAATAAAAAGTCCCGGGGCTGAAGCTCATTGGCTGGCCGGGGCCCCATGACCGTCCCTGAGCCAATCCTGGGGCCGATAGAAGGGAATCCTCTGATGGGTCAGACAGAAGTCACTTGTGCACTCCAGAAGCCTGCAAGGCATCAACCCCACTGAGCAATCTGGACCAGGGGGGAGATCAAAGCTGGGGGAAGGGGGCGGGTGCACGGGATGAGTGGGGGCCATTGGGTTTCTGATCCTGTCCAGCCAGTCCGAGAAGAGAAGACGGCTGGGCCCAGAGGCTGGGCGGGGGCAGGGGTAGGGGCAGGCTTATGCTCCTGCAGGGGAGAGGCTTCTGTTCACAGGTTTCAGGAAACGTGGGCAGGAAAATGTTGTTGTGGGAGCCGCATGTGCGTGCTCATGAGGAGACGGCAGAGCTTTCGGGTCCCCCTGTGGGTTTTGTGGTCTAAGCGCCACCGGCTACCTCCCCAATCTACCCCCTGCCCGCCTCCTCAGGCTTCTAAATATTTCTGTGCTGGCAGCTTTGCTGAGGGCTTTCCTGGGAATTCCGGGGGCTTGGCTGGGCGTGGGCAGGAGGTGGGAAAGAGCACTTTCAGACTATGCTGGGGGGTGTAGAAGGAGAAACTGCTCCCTGCTCCTCCCCACCTCATACCCCCACTGCCAGGCTGAGCACCCCCCACCCACCCACCCTACTGCTCCATCCAGACTCAGGCTTGCCCGCCCGTCCCGAATCCCGGAGCACATCCGAAGAGGCAGCAAACCCGGGGCAAGCAAGCCATTCTTGTGAACATGTTCGTTTACCAACCTCCGGAAAACCACGTGAACAGCGGTGCATCCGGATGCAACCAGAGGAAATGATTGCACTATCTTATCGGCACAGGCTCAACGTTGGGTCTGGTTCCACCGGGCAGGGAGGGCAGCTCTGGAGCCTGCTTCCTTCTGCTGGGGGAATCTGGGTAGGCAGGCGGTTGTTGGAAAGGTTGTCCTCCACAGCCCTCCCCAGGGAGGCCCCCAGACCTGGCTTGCATAGCTCTGATGACAAGGAGCTCACTACCCTACAGAGTCACCCCTTCCCTATGTCCATTGCTGGTACCTGTAAGGTCGGTGGGTTACACCCAGCAGCTGCCCTGAGGGAAAAAGATGAGTCTGTCTGCACCCGAAAAGATGGACAGCCTGGGAACCCCTGTACAGAATCGCTATCCGGCTAGGGGGCTCTGTGGCAGTGGACTTGTGTTTGTGGTTGTTTTTAACCTGCTGAGATCTTTTCTATGGAGAATTGAAATCGGCGGCCTCAGAACGCCTTCCCCGACCCTGCGCTTGAAGCCCACCCAAAATAGGTCACTTCCCTCTGCCCGGGAGAGGGGCCTTTGGGAGCGAAGGTCAGCACTTGGCCCGCCTGGCACCCATCTCTCCTTTGGGCTGTGCCTCTCTGCATGGACAGTCTGTCCTCTTCTGCCAGGCCGGTCCTATGAACAAGCCTACCTACCTATGTCTCCCCACCCAGGGGTGTACCTGCCAGTCTCTGCTAACACACCCCAGCAGGGGAAGGCCTCTGCCCCTCTGGCTGGTGTGTGTGTGTGTGTGTGTGTGTGTGTGTTCTAGCAGGTGGTGTGCGTGGGGTTGGGGTCCCAGGCAGAGAGCCTTGTCTCCAGCACTTGGGGTGGCACGGGGTGGCAGGCCAGGACCCCATCATCTGCACTGGAGGAGCTGCTGGGTGGAGAAGGGAGCAGACTTGGACTTGGCCGCTGGGGTGGGGAGGGGTTTTTCAGCAGCCTCCTCTCCATCTTTCAGATCAGGGCGCTGCAGCCAAGAGGTTGGGACGCTGGCCGGGGGTCACACAGCCACGTTGTCTGGCTCTGGCTCCCCTATGTCAAAGTACTGACACACTGGGGGAGCAAGGCAGGGCACTAAGGTGGGGGGGCTCTCTCAGAAGCTGACCTTCACGCTCTCTACTCAAAAGTAGCCCATGGTCTGGGGAAGCGGGGGACCCTAAAGGGGTAGACACCCCATGGATCCACTGAGGGGAACCCAGAGACCAGCCATGAGCTAGCAGGAAGGGAGCGCGTTGCCCAGGGTGAAAAGGCTTTCGACCGTGGGACATTACAGTCTGGGAAATCTACAGGGGCAGTCCTAGAGGGTCCCCATGCGTCAGCATCCACTCGAGGCCAGGGAATTTGGTTTCGCGTTTAGAGTGGCCTGTCCAAAGCTCAATGGGTCAGGCGGGCCAGCGCCCCACGTGGGGCAGAAGGACGTCCCCTCACCTCGGCTCTGGCCCCACCCCACTCTCTCGGCAGAACCTTTTCGACAGCATCAAGAGCGAGCCCTTCTCCATCCCGGAGGACGATGGCAAAGACCTCACCCACACCTTCTTCAACCCTGACCGCGAGGGCTGGCTGCTGAAGCTGGGTGAGGGCCGGCGGGGGCCGCGCACGCATGCAGGCTGCGGGACACGGGCTCAAAGAGGCACACGCTGGCACACGCTGGCACATGCACTGATGTGCCTGCACGTGCATGTGTGCGCCTGTACCCTCACGCACTGCCACGCATCCTCACGCACCCCACGCACCCCCACGCACATGTAGCCTCGGAGTCAGGCCTCCCTGAGTCTCCTGGCCTCCGCCCTCTGCTCGGCCCCACCCGGCGCATGGGTCCTGGGGCGGCTCAGCCTGGGAGGGAGGCTTCGCATGGACAGAGAGGCCCATGCACAAACAGGGCAGCTGGAGTTCCGTTGCTGCCTGCGGGGAGTTGGTCTGGCCCAGGAGGCTTGTGGGAGCTACATTGTATTCAGGGTCCACCAAGCCCCTTGCTCAGTCCTGCCTGTGGGTTGGCTTTTCTGAAGAAGTCAAGGGCCAGAGAGGTTAGGGAACCTGCCCCAAGCCACACAGCCAGCAAGCGGGAGATGGTGGGGGCAGGGCGGGTGGGGCTGGGTGCCCCAAAGGAGGGGAGAGTGAACAGCAGGATGTGGCTCCGGTGGGAGGTGTCAGGGTGGGAGGGCCTGCCCCACAAGGGAAGCTGTAGGTGGGTGCTGTGGCGGTGGGTGCTGTCGTAGTGTAGCAGGTGAAATCTCCGGCTCAGGCCATCCGACACCCTCACCCCACCGCCCCACCCTGTCCCAGAAGCCTCTGTGCTGGAAGCAGCCCAGTCATGGCAGTAGCCTTTGGAGGCAAGAGAGATGGTTGGAGCAGGGCCTGGGTGGGTCACTTCTAGCACCTCCTGTAGGCCTGGCACTGGGACACTCCTGCCCAACACTCCTCATGCCCATCTGAGCCCTCCCTCCCTCTATGCCCACATCCCTGTTCCTGCCACCCCTGCAGACTCGCTGGTCACCTTCTGGTCCCAGCCATCTGCACTCAGCCCAGCTCCCCACACCGAGTGTCTGTGCCCAGCTGCCTCAGCCTCCCTCTCCACAGCTGTGAAATAGGCTAGTCCCTCAGGAGGGTGCAGCAGACAGCAACATGGCCGAGGTGCTCCAATTCAAGTCTCATCTCTGCTGTGGGCCCTCGGGCGTAATTTAGCCTCTCTGGGCCTCAGTTTCCTCATCTGTCAGACGGGATTGATAACAGCCCCCTTCCTCCTAGGTGGGGTTAGCAAGGCAATGAGTATTTGGAACTTCTAGAACGGTGCCAGGCAGATAAAAGATGGACGGCTTAGCACAACACCGGGCAGGGAGCCTGCCAGGGGATGGGTGCAGAGGTGATGTGGGGGGGGGGTACTAAGGCCTGATGCCAGGGGAGTCTTGGATGCCAGATTAAGCTCAGGGGCAACTGTGAAGATTTCTGAGCGAGGACGGAGGAGGGGAGTAAGGTGGGCTTGACGTTGAGGTCCCGCTCCTCCAGAGAAGGGGGTGCTGGTGGCTAGGGCAGAGGCAAGGCCTGGCTGACACCTACCGGGCTCTCACAGGGGGCCGTGTGAAGACGTGGAAAAGACGCTGGTTCATCCTGACCGACAGCTGCCTCTACTACTTTGAATTCACCACTGTGAGTGGCAGGGGGAGAGGCGTGTCCCCTGGCTCTGCCCCGCCCCACCCAGCCCTTTCCCATCCCAGCAGTCCATTAACCCTGGGTGGGGATCCCCAGAGATCATCAGTCCACCTCTGTGCCCATTTTACAGATGGGAGACTGAGGGGCCGGCCAGACTCCAAGGTCAAGCCAGAGCTCAAAGCTGGTGCTCTGGCCCTCCCAAGGCTACTGGGCTGCACAGAGCTGGGAAGGAGGGGCCGGTCCTGCTTAGGTTTCGGGAGCCCCAGGAGTTGCAACCACACCCTAAGCCTGCAGGCTCCTGACCCTGCCCTCCCCCTCCCCCTGCAGGACAAGGAGCCCCGAGGGATCATACCCCTAGAGAACCTCTCCGTGCAGAAGGTGGATGACCCCAAGAAGCCGGTGGGTGTCAGGCTGGGCACAGCCTGTGGCCAAAGCTGCGGAGGGCAGGGCTTGGGGAGAACAAGCAGCCAGTGGACCCCTCCCCTCTGTCCCCTGCAGGACCACCCACCCCCCAACCACCCAGAGCCCCGTTGTCCCCAAAAGAGGAAGGGGTAAGAGCTACAGTGGCACAACCCAAGCACTGAGCATGCCAGGCCCCTCCTGCCAGGATAAATCCCATTCCAGAGATGGGGAAACTGAGGCTGGCCCGGGCACAGTGGCTTCCTCAAGGTCACCCAGCCAGTGTCAGACAACTGAGCTCGGCCTTGCCCCTGGGTTCATGGTCCCAGGGCGTGGAGAGAGCGGCTGGAGGCTCGCTGAGGGTGTGGTGGCCACGCTCCTCCCACGCTGCCCTGCCCTCACCTGCTGCCTGCACCCCGGCCCGCGCCTCCTAGTTCTGCCTGGAGCTCTGCCTTCCCGGATGCCGGGGCCAGAAAATCAAGGCCTGCAAGACAGATGGCGACGGCAAGGTGGTGGAGGGGAAACACGAGTCCTCCCGGATCTCAGCCGCCAGCGCTGAGGAGCGGGACCAGTGGATCGAGGCCATCCGGTGAGGCCCTGGGATGGCTCTGCTGCTCTTGCTCCACACAGGGGTTCAGCTGGCCTGTCCCTCCCACCCACCCCCTGACACGGACCCTGACAGCGGGGAGGTGTCGTTGCTCAGAGCATGAACCGCAGAGGGTGCTGGGAAGGGCTGCCCCTGATACAGATGGAGGTAGGGTCTTCCAGGTGAAGGACCAGGGTGGGCCCAGACAAGTGGACAGGTCAATGGGGGGGCTGCCTGGTCCTGACAGCATGGGGTCGGGGAGGGTGGAGTTGCCCTGTTGGAGTAGGGGGGGGGGGCGGGCAGGGCAGGCCCAGCTGTGTGGCGTTCACGCAGACCAGGAAGGGTGGGGGCTGAGCAGGGTGGGGGGCTGAGCAGGGCAGGCAGGAAGGGGGTGGGCAGGCAGGAGTGGGCTGGGTTTAGGGAATAGGATGGCAAAGCCTTGGTTTTCATGGGTTCCTCTTAGGGGTGACGGGAATCACAGCCTGGCAAGCAGGTGAGAAAGGCCAGGGCTGAGGGGCCAAGGGGGACCTCATGGCACCACCTGCAGGTGGGGATGAGAAGTCGCGCCTTCCTTCCCCCAGTGGAGATCATGTCCCCGCTCTTGAGCCTGGACATTCCCCAGGAGGAAATCCCCCCTCCCCACCACATATAAAACAAACAACCGAAACACCGCACTCCCTGCCCTCAAGTCGACTGGCTCACAGCAGCCCTGAAGGACAGGGTCGAGCTGTCCCCAGGGGTTTCTGAGACTCTCACTCTGTATGGGAGTAGAAAGCCTGTCTCTCTCCCTCGGAGTGGCTGGTGGTTTCGAACTGCCAGCCTTAAGGCTAGCAGCCAAATGCATCACCCACCAGGTCTCCCCCAAACAGAAAACTAAACCCACTGCCCTTGAGTCTGGGTATCCAAGACAGTCACTCTTTAAGGGAGTAGAAAGCCTCATCTTTTTTCCCTTGGAGCGGTTAGTGGTTTCGAACTGCTGGCCTTACGGTTAGCATCCCAACAGTAACCACTGTGCCTCCAGAGCTCGTTAAGGTCCACAGAGAGGTGGGGCTTGCCCAGGGCCACACCCCGTGGGTTGCAAGTCTGCTGGCCCCACCTCCTTCCTTCTGAGAGTCACAGGCAGGAGCCCAAAGGCAGGGGTCCAGGGACCCTCTGGGGCAGAATTTCCCAGGCGCTCAGCTCGGACTAGATGTTAATCCAGCTCTGGCCTTGGCCCCCAGGTTCTGGGCTGGATTATGAGGCTGGACTCCCTGGCTCACTCCTGCTTCCCCGTGCAGCAGGGCAGGCCAGCCGCCCCTCTCCCCCAAACCCCAGCTGGGCCCTGATGTCCTCTCTCCCCCTCCCCTTCCAGGGCCAGCATCACCCGAGTTCCCTTCTACGACCTCGTCTCTGCTCGGAAAAAGAAGATTGCCAGCAAGCGCTGAGCTGCCGGGGGAGGTGGCGTGGGGGCCAGCAGCCTGAGCACCCCGAGACCACCTCCCACCCCCAGGGTACCCCTTCCTGGCATCACCACCCTCCCCTGGACTCCAGATAACAGTGAGGCAGGAGACAGAGCTCAGGAGGATGGGTTAGGAGCCCCTGGGGCTCTGAGTCCCAAGAAGGAAGCTCCCTTGCCCGATGCCCCAAATTCACTACAGCAGAAGGAAAGGAAGCCAGTTCCAGGGCCCGGGGTCCCGTCCTCTCTCTGGGCCTCAGTTTCCTAATCTGTGAAATGGCTGCATGCACCCTGACGGGCTGCCTGTCCTCCTTGGGGGCCCAGAGGGTCCCCGAGCATGCTCTGTCCTCTGCGAGGCCACCTCCTTCAGCCGGGGCAGGAGAGCTCTGCCTCCCCTCTCCCTGCCCGAGCAGGGCTCATCACACACGCAGCCCCGCATGGCACGGGTCTCCTCAGGCTCTCAGCCACATGAGCGGTTGGGACCGGAGATGGCTCAGCCCCTTGAAACTTCATGGGGGTCCCGAGTGGGAGGTAAGCTGGCCAGCCTCCTGCTCCCAGGATACCTCCCCTGGCAGGAGGCCAGGACTGCAGTGGGCCTCCCCGCCTGCCCCCAGGCGCTTCCAGGCTGGAGAGCCCATGACTGTTCACCGACCCGGCCAGGCCCTGGTTGAAGGCTGTCCGGGAGCCGAAGGCAGAAGTGGAGTCATATTTGAGAAACTTCATTTGAAGGAGATGGGCGGCTGGACCCCTGGAGGAAGCCATAGACAGCATCCCAACAGAGGGACACCAGCCGGACTGACGGTTCAACCAAGAGGCTGAGCGGGCAGCACTCTGTGGGCTGAGGCCATCCGGAGGGCTGCGTGGAGGGGGCAGCCAAGCAGGCAAGAGATGCTTTGCTTAAAGAGCCAAAGTCTGGGCCACAGTACCCCTAAGGGACCACTTGCCGGGGCCCTGCAGCTGTGCAGACAGCGAGCCTGTCTACAGCAAGCCCTCCTGAGTGGAGCTGACAGCCCGCCTAGGCAGGGCCAGGCTGGAGAAGGATTCCAGGAACAGGAAGCTCCTCAGAAGCGCTGGCCTCGAGGGAAACCCTGGAGGGAAATTCTCTGGCAGGGGAACAGCAAGTAGAGTTGTCTCTGCCCCACTGCCAGTCTGTGTGGGTGAGCAGGAGCCAGGTGGCTTCCCCAGGAGGATCAGCAGCTCCATGGGCACCCACCCACAGCTACACACACAGAGAGATGCACACACGCGCACAGACATGTGCACACAGGTACACGCATACATGAACACCTGCACAGCTCTCCATGGGGTTGATTGAGACTGCCCATGGATGGGATGACTGCCTTGGGAGGTGGTGAGATCCCCGTCTGCAGAGGTGTACAAGCATGTGGTGATGATATTGCAACCCTAGCAAGGGTCTGCGTTGGCAGCTGCAGGAGGAGCCAGCAGAGGCCTTGCGGGAGACCTCTTTCGCTCTTTTTGGCCCCTGAAGGAGCAGCCAGGAATTGGAGAAGGAGCACCAGGCTGGGAGTCAGAAGGTCAGAGGTCCTCACCTGCCTCTGGCACACATTGGCTGTGTGACCTTGGCCCACTCTTTCCCCTTTCTGGTCCTTGGCTTCTTCCATGGAGGCGTGGGTGGACTTGGAGATGTTCAGGGGATGAGCAGCTGTTCTAGAAACCATTCAGAGGCAAGAATAAAGCTCATGATCTGACTCGTGACTGGGGCTCTGTCCTCTGCATGCCCGCGTCCACCACCCCTGCCCCCAACCTTCACCCTCCCACACAAGGGCAAGAGGGCCAGACTGGGACAGGCCACACCCAAGAAGTCCCCCGGAACTAGGGCCCAGGGGCAGGGCAGGACAGGCATGTGGGGCAAGGACAGGCGTGAGCTGGTTCTCCCCAGCCTAGGGAATGTCAGAAAGAACTCATGCAGGGGTGGGAAAGGTCACCATTTCAGGAGCTAGGGAATAAGCTCCCTGTCCCTGGAGGAATCCAAGCTCAGGCTGGCCTGAAGGATCACCTGGGGTGCTGCTGAGGGCCTTCATTGTTCTGCGCTCTCTGTTCTTTATTGAGCGCCTGCTGTGTGCCGGGTGCTGCTGCAGGCACTGGTGGAACAAGGCAGAACCCCTGCCTGCCCGGATCCTGGGTTCCAGTGGCCCTGGGCCCTTAGCAAGTGTGGTGCGCCCAGTTCAGCCTGAACTGGTCCTATTCAGCATGGCTCAGCGGTCTCATTCGGCCCACACATACCGAGTTCCTCAGAAGACCCTCTGATCCAGTGCGGAAGGCAGGTTTGAAGGACCTGTTACAGGAGGGTCAGGGCAGGGAGGCTGCTCAGAGGCGCAGTAGGCAGGCTGGGGAAGGATTGCAGGGAGCTGACCTATGCCTGTCTTCCCACGGGGCTGGGACCTCATCAGCGGCCAGGCTGTGCACTCGTTCAACACAGTCTGTGTGGTTGGATGGAAGTCCACTCTGGGTTCGGGACCTCCAGAGACAAAGGTCTGGAGCCCCTGGGAACGGTAAGGCCCTCAGGGGAGGGTCTTCAGGCTGGGCGTGGGCAGGACCTAGCCTCCCTTGGCTCTGGACTCCTGCCATTCCTCGCCGTGGCAGCAGGGGGAGCCCACCGCCCGCCAATGAGACAGCGAGGCTGCAGCCAAGCTGGGGCCCAGGCAGCGGTAGCTTGCAGGAATAAGCCTCCGTCCACAGAAGGGTCCTGGCCTGGGCAGCCAGGATGCAGCTGGCCCATTAGGGCCCTCGGGCTCGAGCAAGCCAACAGACACTCAGGGACCCTCCCGGGACACAGTCCTCCCTCCCATCCTGGGAGGAGTCCTGGCTACTCAAAGCTCCCTCACCTTCCTGCCCTGGGCCCTCTAGTTGCATACCCTCTCTGAGCATTATTTCCCTCCCTGAGGGGCTGAACCCACGAACCGCACGACGCAAGCCTCTAACAAGGACATCCATGTGCCAGGTCAGCCTAGAGACGTGGGGTGAGACAGCCTGCAGGATTGGAGACTGGTGGACCCAAATCATGAAAGTCATTACCTGCAAGAGCCCACAGGGGGGCAGCAGTGAGACCCTCTGGGACCACAAGGCCGGAGGTTCAAGGCCCCAATGCCACTTTTGTTTATTATCTGGTGTTTAAACACCTCTGTTTTCCCCTCCATAAAATGGGAGCTTTAAAGGCATTCCTTCAAACAGGGATGGCCACCTACTCAGGTTACATGAGCGTTATTTTAAGGTAGACTCTTGCGTACAAGACAGGCTGGACACACTGGGGGCGGGCGGAGTCCGGGTGGATGTTAATGATCTTTGAAGGTGCCTTGGGAGAGGTGCCATCGCAGATTAGCTAAGCGGGAGTCTAGGTCTCCCAGCCAAAAGGACCAGGAGGAGCCAAGACCGACAAGCAGAGTAGAGCTAGATCTTTCTGGAGCTTCTAGGGCCCTAGGCACAATCACCACCCCCACCACCACCCTGGCTACGAGAGAAGGCCCAGAGCTCAGCGGGTGCAGGGCCCTGGGCCTTGGGTGCCCTCGGGAGTCTCCGGAGCTGGGGCCAGCCAGGAGGGGAGCGGCAGGTGTGAGAGGGCTGGGGAAATTGATTTATTAGGGACAATGAAAGGAGCTAAATATGTTTGCCGGCTCAGCGATGACTCAGGCTTTCCCCAGGGGTCTGCCGAGTGAGAACGCCACAGAATCAAAAGCAGGACTCTGAACCCCAGCGCCACCGTGCCCTGGGGCACCCCCTTCCAGCCCAAGAGGGTCCAGAGAGCCTGGCCAAGGCGAGCATCGGAGACCCCGCTCCTACCCACCCGCCCAACTCCCTCCCTGCCTGACAGACCTCACCCAGAGCTGCTCAAGAGAAAAATTGGGAGTAGGGTCCACCTCAAATTCCCAGGCCTGCCCCTGGGTGCTGTGTGACCTTGGGCAAGTGGTTGGCCCTCTCTGAACCCACATCTCGCCAGTGCAAATGCCCAGGGAGTGGTTGGGGGTGATGCTGAGCTCTCTCTTGGGGGGGGGGGGCAAGGTGATGACCTCTCAATGCCCTGGCCCCACCTCTGCCAAGCAGGCTGGTCCCCACTGAGTGCCCGCCCCCATCCCCTTTCAGTCTGGCAGCGTCACTCCACCCGATTCTTCTGCCTGGAGACAGCTGTGCGCACAGTCTCCTCCACCTAAAACCCCCGACGTCCCTCCCGGAGAAGCGCCAGACTCCCTCCATGGGGCCTCCTTGGAGGAGAAGATGCTGGAGCCTGGAGCTGGCGGTTCCTGGGCTCTGGAAGCAGGGGGATGAATCAGAGGCAATAGGAAGGAGTCATGGCCTTGTGGAGCCAAGTGTGGGGGTGGGGGGGGCCAGTGAGAGGGATCCAGATGGGAGCTGGGAAGGTGGGTCTCGGAGGCTGGGGCTGGGAGGCTTCTGCAAGGCAGGGGGTTGGGCACTCTTGGTGTGGCATGCATAGAGCCCCAAAGCAGGGGAGCATTTGGCATGGGGAGAGGATGTTGCCACTGTTCACAGGGTCAGCCAGGAGAGGCCTGCTCTGGAACTGCAGGGCTTGGCACGGAACAGAAGGGGTATGTGGACCAGCCGGCCAGAGCAGTTAGGCCTGGGCTGGAAAAATGGGGAGCTGATGAGGGTTGAAGCAGAGAGGGGCATTTGGGCTGTTTGGGAGTGTCTGCCTGTCTGCTTGTGGGGTGGATGAAAGTAGGCCCCCTGGTTGGTCACCAGGAGCCCAGAAGAGGCCAATGAGGGACAGGATGGCAGCTGGGGTAGGGCAGGGACAGCATGGGTGTGGAGTGCAGGGGGAAGGAGAGGAGGCTTGAGCTAAGATCTGTATGTGGGAGGGAAACCCCCACCATAATTTGCACCCAACCTGCCTGGGGAAGGACAGGAGGGAGTAAGGTGTGGGAGGAGTGAGAGATGAGCAGGGTCACCCTGAGTCTGAGGCCCCTTTGGGGGATCCCAATTCTAATCAATCACTGCCCTTTTTGATAGCCCGGAGCTACTACACCACCACTAGGTCAACGGTTCCAACCCACCAGCCGCTCTGTAAGAGAAAGATGAGGCTTTCTACTGCCAGAAAGCTGTCCTGGCCTGGGAACCCCACAGGGCAGCTCTGTCGCCACGAGTCAGAATCCGCTTGATGGCAGGGAGCCTGGCTGTGTCACGCTTGACGTGGCTCCCCACGCCTGCCCCCACGCAGGGTGGCGTGGGCTGCCAATGAACTCGACGAACCTGGTGGCCACCAAAGTGGTGTCAAGAACTCAGCAGAGCACTGCCAGCTACAAAGGTTGGTGGTTCAACTCCACTAGAGGTGTATGTTAGTCTGGTTGGGTACATGAGAGAAAGGAATCCACAGAAACTCATATGTATAAGAGAGAGTTTTATATAAAGGGTAAGTGCACATCAAGAAAACATCCCAACCCAGTGCTGCCCAAGCCCACAAGTCCAACATTATCCCGTATGTCCGACACCAGTCCACAAAGTCCTCCTCCATCTCACAAAACACCCACGATGATGCCGACTGCAGGAGGAAAGCTGAATCAGTGAGTGTGTCAGCATCTCAGAGCTAGCAGGGGTCTCCACACGGCTGCTCCAGCACCCAGGGCTGCATCGGGGTAGGTCCATGTGGCTTCTCCTCAGGGGTGTCTTGCAGGAAGTGAGCCTTGCAGGCTGAAGCAGGGAACTGGCTAAGGCAGCTGCACCCTGGTCCGACCATCAGAAAGCAAGAGACCTGAGAACTAGAAAGGCGAGGCTCACCGAGCCATTTATCTCTCCGCCCTTCAATCAACCCCACATGTGTTTATTGGCCAGGTTGGCACAATAAACTTTAACTATCTCAAAATGCCTGGGAAAATCGGCCCGGCAGTCTCCTTTAGAACAGGCTCACCCTTGAAGACCCTGGGTGCGGAGCAGCACTGGGTGACTGAGGGTCAGCACTACTTGCCCGTGGCTCACTGCAGCCACCAAGCCGTTCATACTCGGTTGTTCTCCCCTCAATGGATGGTTCGAGCCCAGCGGTGCATTGGAAGAAAGGGCTGGCACCTGCTTCTTAACTAGCCATGATGCACATGTCTACTGTGACACGCTTGGGGGGGGGTGTCTCAGGATGGGGTCTCCCATTCTCAGGATGGGGTCTCCCATGACTGGGCAGAAGTGCCATGGACACTGAGTGCTGCCAGCCACCGTCTTCGAGGCTCAGCAGACGTCTTCCTCCTTCATGAAGCCCTCCCTGACCACCCAGCCCCCAGGGGTCCTACAAGAATCTAAAGGTTTCAGAAAATAGAGAGTGCTGGCTACAGGCCTCCAAAGGAGACCATAGCCTTGATTTTGGCCCAGTCTGGCCTCCCAACAGTGCAGGCCTTTGGGGAGCTGATCTTGTAGTCTGGGGCTCCATGGGAGTCCCAGGCTCTATGCTGGGCTCAGATCCCCCTTTGCCCCAGGCCCATGAGCTTCCTCCTTCCCAACCCCTTGTTTCTGCAATTTGGAGCTGTGGTTGCCTCATGGGTTAAACACTGGGCTGCTGGCCACGAGGTTGGCAGTTCAAATCTACCAGCCACTTCACAGGAGAACTATGAGGCGGTCTGCTTCCATCCAGACGTACAGCCCGAGAACTCCAAGGGAAATGCTTGTTCCTTCTGTAATGAATTTCCAGCTCTGTCCGGAAATGCTTCAGTCGGTAAGATCATCCTTCCCTCCTTTCCAGGGGAAACAGGATCCTGAAGCTGTTG